CGCGCCGGCCGCGCCCGCGGCGGCGGCGGCGGCGGCGCTGCCGGCCGAGGCGGCCTTGCAGGCGCGGACGCTGTCGAAGAAGGGGTGCTTCAGCAGCTGGCGTGCCTCGGGGCGCGCGTCCGCGTCGTGGTTGATGCACACCTCCACAAAGTCGCGCAGCTCCTGGTGTGCCACGTTGCCCAAGCCCACGGGGTGGATGCCCTGGCGGCAGCACGCGGGGGGTGGTGGCGGCGAGGACGCGTCACAGGGCATTCGAAGGGGGAGGCCGCCAGAGTTGCAGCTGTTCAATTGGGGAAATGCTGCCAGCTTGCTCGCGGCCACACCCTGTGCCACCGCCTGCAGTGCCTGCTGGTGCCGCCGCCTAGCGCTGCAGCAGGGCAGCCGCGACTTGCTGGCGCCGCGCCGCTACGCAAGGGCGCGCCCTGCCCCAGCACCTGCACGCCGCAGGCTTCGCCCAGCATTCGGAGCCGCAAGCACGCACCTGCGTGACCTTCTTGTAGATCTGCGCCGCGTTGCGGCACTCTGCATAGGGGTACTCCATCGTGGCCAGCTCCAGCATGCACATGCCAAAGCTGTACACGTCCACCTGAGGAGCCCGGCGTGGGAAAAGTAGAGGGAGGTCGGATGGGGCCGGTGGGCGCGGGCTTGGGCAATGCAGCTGGGTGCTAAGCATGCATTACCGTGAGGCTATGAAGCAGGCTAGCACCCTGGCTCTGAAATTTGCAGCCACCGCAGAGGATGCACAAGCACCCAAACCATACAACCGCACACAAACAACCCAATCCTGCCAAACCCACCTGGCGCACTGCAGCGCCGGTCTTCCTCGTCTTGCGCGCGCTTACACACACGCGCACACACACACACACACACACACACACACAGCACATACACACTCTGTTTGGACGCACCACCACACAGAGTTCCAGCCATGGCCCCCACCTTCTCGTTGTACTTCTCCTCATACAGCTCAGGCGCCATGAACTCGGGCGTGCCCAGCACGCTCTGCGGCGTCGTCAGCCCGCGCCACAGCGTCGCCAGCCCCAGGTCGCCGATCTTGACCACGCCACTGGTGCCGTTGACAAAGATGTTGTCGCACTTCAGGTCCCTACAGGGGTTTGAGAGGTGAAGGTGAAGAAGAGAGGTCAGTAGCGCGGGCCGGGCTTCATGGGGGTGATTGACTTGCCGAGGCCTGGCCAGCCGCCTGCCCCGGGCATCGGGGCTTCATGCATCGTTGCCGGATACGGTGCGGCGACAAGGGCGCTGCATGCAGGGGGCCGGCGGCGACGGGCCTCGCAATGCGGGGTTGCTGCACGCACATCCCAAAGGGGTGGCGCGCCCGCACCTGTGGATGATGGGCGGGTCGTGTGCGTGCAGGTACACGAGGCCCTGCAGTATCTGCCAGGCCCAGCGCTTGAGCACCTGCTCGTCGATCCTCTTGTGCTTTTTGCGGTACCTTTGGGGGGTTGAAACGGGGATATGGAGAGGGGCCCAGCCTTGAGAGGGGCACGCGGCGCAGCGGGGTGGGTTGCAACAAGGCTTTGGCTGCTGCGTCCTGCAAAGCGTGAGCTCGCTCGCTGCATTCGCCCTGCCGTTGCTCGACGCTCCCCCTCCCGAAAAATCCAGAATCACTCACTGTCGCAGAGTGCCTGAAGTGAAGAGCTCTGTGATGAAGTTCACTGTGAGGTTTTTGGTGTCCAACCAGCTGTCGTAAAAGCTCATGATGTTCTTGTGCTTGAGTTGCTTGAGCACCCGGATCTCCGCAAAGAGCCGCTCGCGCTCGAGCGGCGAAGTCACCTGCACGCAGCACAGGCGGCGCGTCAGGAGAACGGCGGTCTGCAGCGACCCTCTCCTAAGTGCCCCGCCAGGGCGGCACCCTGGCACTCCAGCGGCCGGGCACCCCAGCCGTCTGCTTTTGACGGTGACTGCAGTCATGCAGCTCTGCTTCGATGTCATGAATGGCCCTGTTGCGGGGCCTCACCATGTCGTTGACTTTGACCTGGTTCCATGCCACCTCAATACCCTCAGCCTCATCAAATGCCTTGTACACGGTTTTGAAGGCGCCGCGGCCAAGTACGACGTCATACTGCATACCAGGGTGAACGCAATGCAATGCGCGCGAGCGGGGCAGCGTGAGGAAGGGAGGCCTGCGGCCGCAGCTGGGGTTGTTTGTGGGGCCAGCTGTGCGGGGTGTCCAGCACAGCGAGGTGGCACATACGGACAGCGAGGTGCAAGCAATGCTCCATCGCCTTGCTTGTGAATGCGATCAGAAAGCGGCAAGCAACAACTCGTGCGGCGATCGCCCATGCAGAGCCGGGCCGCCGTCCAGTGCCTTGGCGGCTGCAGTGCATGCACACCATGGCGGCATGCGCCGCGACCATGGGGCAGAACCTGTGCATCGACAGCAAACTCACCCTGCTGTAGCGGTTGTTTGGATCTGATTCGACCACCTGGTGTCCATCCCCGTCCGCGGCCTCCCCTGGCAGCTCGCCGCTCATGGCTCCTCCGTGGGTGCACCCTGTGCTGCCCGAGGCCAGCTTGAAGCATGAACGACCTCCCTATGAATCCGCTAATCCATCTAAGAGTGCGCCAGCGATCGGTGCTGCCAAACGCTCACACAGTGCCCCAAACGCAACCACAGTCTGGTTATTTGCCTCAGCACGAACCAGGTCCGAACCACGGCGGGCGTGAGACCGACTGGCGTAGTGCAAACGAGGCACTGTTCGCAGGTAGCGCAGGTCGCCTGTTGTTGAGGCGAGGTTTTGACACACCCAAACTTTTGAATGGAAGCCCTGGCGAGAGTTGTGGAGCGCGGCTCAGTGCAATAACAGCACAAAGTTGTATGTCGGTCTGTCATGCAAAGCACGTGCGTCGCGCCTCCCTACATTTCGGCGGCCCGGCAGATTTTGCAGGAGGCGGACCAGGAGCGGACCGTCCGTATCTCGCAGTACTTGAGGTTCTTGCATGCAGGCCTTGCACTTGCGCACTTAATATACTGTACTGTACTGTACAATATGTTGTGTTCATGCGCACATTCCCATATCCAGGTTCGGTGGATCAAGAGCCAACTGCACCTGTCAACCTAAGCATCCGGCGTTGGCGCCCGCTCACTGTTGCATGGGACTGCTGACCAGCACGCAGTCGTACGCCTTCTCAAATCCCGTTGGCCCGCGATTGCTTTGCAGTCATGCCTCTTACACTTGCCTAGGCTGCCAAGAGCCTTTCTTGCAATGTGTGACCAGTGTGAGGCGCTGATCGTGCAATCATATGCTTGCTGTTGCAAGAGCTCTGCGCAAGTACTGTCTGGCCGCACGTCCAGGTTTACACCCTGCAACCGTGGCCACGGCGCCTGGTCACACATGTCCCCCAGACAATAAGGCAGTCATAACAATACACATGGGTGCACATCCGTCGCACACGTGTCGCCGCATCAGACTGTGTCACCCACTACCTGCATTACAGGGCCCTCCCGTCTCCATCGAACTAGAGCGTTGGGCTAATTCGGACCAGCAACCTGTGCTGCCATATCCCCCCGACCCACTCCACAGCGCCTTGACTCCAGCAGCACACTGCGCGCTGTACCGCCTAACCATCTTTTCGCATCAATGCTCTTGCACACAAGCCCAGGCTACCTGCTCGCGTTGGGCCCCTAGTCACTAGCACGGGGTGCTTCGTGGGGCCTGCCTCCATCGTCGTATGTCCTACGCACCTGCCCAGGCGAGGGCGGGCGCTCCTGCGGGTGCGTGGATCAGTAGGGGTCGCACGGCGTCAAAGCGCAGCGAATGGACTACAGGCGCGCAAGGGACCAATCAGAAATGGCAGGGAAGGACTCGGACAAAAAGCTAAGTTACTTCCAGGCTGCTGTGAACTGCAAGAGACAGGCTCCCAAACACGTTGGCATGAACAAGTGTGCTGCTTGAGGCACTGGTGGATGCCCGCCCCTGCAGCCAGCCCTGCTGACCAGGCAGAGTGTGGGGCGAGCAGAGCGGCCCCGTCGCACCTGGATTCCGCGCTCGCTACGCGGCCCAGCCTCGTCCGGCTCGACCAGCGCCGCCACGCTCTCCAGCCCGGTAGCAGGCTCGCGGCCTGGGCGATTTACGTTGCTGGCAGCGTCGAGATCGACCGTGCCATCCTGATCGGGCCGCGCACAGTGATCAGGATGGGCGCGGGTTGCTTGTTGGACAATACGGGTGGACAGGCACCAGCCAGGGGGCTGCTGATGCAACTGCAACTGCATTACCAGCACGGGTGCTGGCAGCGGCATCCCAAGTCTGCGATCCACCAAAATAGGCATACCCGTTCCTGCGCCCATGCATGCAACAATTGGGTTTGTGCACTGCCGCGCAACCCCGGTGCGCAACCCCGCTGCGCACCTGGTCGCCCCTCCCCGCCAGCTGTTTCAGCTCAACCTCTTCAGGGCGAGTCAGATCCTCTTGGCCCTTGCCAAACATGGCCTGTGGTTGTGCGTCAAGTGGGTATGCGTGTGGCAGGCGCACGGGCCCATCTGCAAAACGGCACAGCAGGGGGGCACATGTCATGTGTGATCTGGTGCCTCACAGCTGCTTGCCTGAGCCAGGGTCTCCTTATTGTCGGCCATGGTAAGTGGTATCTTAGTAGCTCAGACTTGCATGAAATGGTTAATGGGGCTAAAGACAACTGATTAAGCAAAGCCAACGGGCCCCCAGCGATCACATCACACTTTTTCCAGGCGATGATGTAAGCAGTGCCGAGGAGCCCACACACGCGCCGCAGCTCGCCCTCGCGTCCTGTGTGCGTTAGTCTGTGGTTTGCAGGCTTCATTCGCACGTGACTTGAGGCAACAACAGGTAAGTGGTATCCACAGGTGGCGATAGTATCCTGGCGCTGACGGCCATCTCACGCGTTTTCTCGCTGCTACTCCTTACTGACTGGCCAAATGCAATCATGCCACCTCCGCACTACGTGTGCAGTACGTGTGTGACAGGCTTGATGCATACGTCACTTGCTGGTGACTGGGCAACAGCAGAGGATTCAGGGGAAGCTGCAGGTTCGTTACTGTGGTTTCGGCCAGACACAAGGCGGTGCATGCTCGCATGAAATCGGAACCCTGAACTTAGAAGGGTTGTGAGAGTGCGTTTGGCCAAGGATGGGTCAGTGTGTGGCGCATTTGCAGCGCACACAGGGGTGAGGGTAAGGCTAGGGCCAAGAATCAAGTAGCCTCCAGGAGCCCACGATTCAAGCGGGACACGAAGTCACACGGCGCGGCCCCTCGAAAAAGGTCACTGAACTCAAAAGAGCGAGGTCTTCTTCTGCGGGTCGCGAGACGAGGCGGCAGCGGTGGACTCAGCATGTTTTCAGCCAGGGTGGCGAGCACGTGACGCAACCCAAGTCTCAAGAGCAGCACCCTGCCGCGTGCGATGCCGCGTGCCGACCGCATGCACCCAGTGTCCACCCGCAATGCTGCTCAGCACTCACCATGATGCGCATGAACTCCTCCTCGTCCACCTGGCACCATGGCAAGGAAAGGGAACAAGCAAGAGGTCAAGCTCAAGACTGCCGGTGTGGGAAAACAAGACTGCGCGCTGTGTTTGCCAACCGAGCAGGCTCGCACGCATAGGCCAGCTGCGGCATGCGCAGCTCATGCATCATCTCAATTGATCATTGCTCACAACATGAAACGACACATCGCCCCCTCACCTCGCCGTCGCCATTCCTGTCGGCCTCGTCAACTGTCACGAGCGAGGGACAATTGCGCAAGGGTGGGTGTGGTTGCCGCTAGTTGCGCTGGTGGTGCCATCCAAGCTTGGGGTGGTGCACAGTCAGAGAAGCTGGCATACAAAGCAAGGAGGCTGCTGCAAACAGCCGGCCTTGCACCCGTAGCCCTTGCCACTCACTCATCTCCTGGATCTCCTCATCGGTCAGGTTCTCCCCCAGCTCCTTGGCCACACGCTTGAGGTTTTTGAACGTGATGCGGCCTGGGCGCCACAGAGAGGTAATGGAGAGGAGCAGGGTGAGAGGGCCCAAGCCCGCGTGCCAGTAAGGGGTTGGGATGAAGGCGCAATTTATAGATACACCAGTAGCACAACCTGGGCATGTTTGATCCAGTAGGGGTGGACCCAGGAGGCTGCTTGACTGCCTTGCAGTTACCAGGCACACATGTGGGACTCGGCTCTGAACGCGATGATCAGCACCACCCCTATGCTGGAGCCCGGCGAGGGCCCGCTCCCCGCAGCAGCCCTGACCTGTGTTGTCGTCGTCAAACAGCTTGAAGGCCTTCAGGATCTCCTCCCGCGAGTCCCGCTCGCCCATCTTGGCTGTCATCATTTGTAGGAACTCCTCGAAGTCGATGGTGCCGCTGCAGGAGACGGGGGGGGGGGTGCGCCCGGTGCCGCAGGGTTGGTTGTGGAGGGGGTCACGGTCCTCGCGCGCCGCCTTCTACGAGCCAGCCAGTATGCCAGTGAGAGTCGTGTGCTTGCGCGGAGTAGCAAGCAGGCAGCCATGCCTGGCGCATGGTCAACAGCAAGCCGACTGGCTTGCAAGCCAGGGAGGGGGAGGGGGTGCCGTGCGTTGGAATGTGCCATGGAGCTTCTCACCTGCCGTCCTTGTCAATGTCCGCAATCATCTTCTTGATCTCCTCCTTCTTGGGCTCAAAGCCGAGCGCCCTGGCAGGTGTCAATCAGGAGGCAATCGAGGTTGGGAGGACTGGTGTTGTCTGGTGCCGAACAGCAGGGGTGCACACGTCAGGTGGGTGCATGAGTGCAGCACCCCATACACATGACACGAGCGCCCCCATAGCCTGCCGTGGGGCAAACGGGCGCGGACGTATGAGCCCAATGCCGGCCGCTCACCGCATGGCGACCTTGAGCTCCTTGGCGTCGATGGTGCCGCTGCCATCGGTGTCAAAGAGGTCAAACGCCTCCCGAATCTCCTGCTTCTGCTCCTCCGTCAGGCCGGACCTCTTCCCCTGCTCTGCGCGCCTGGCGGCCACGACGCTCTTGCGGTAGCTCTGTCGGGCAGGCACAGAGTGCAAGCGTGCGCCAATGCGGGCAGTGTTGGTGTGCGCGTGAAGGCAGCTCAGCAGCAGGCAACATGTGGCTGCCGCCGCCTGCGAGGGCTGCCCAGCTGCGGCTCTTTGGTATTGATAGCGTGCTGCGGCAGTGTGATCGCCTTGCCCGGAGGCCAGCAAGAGCGCTTGACCAAGCTCAAGACTTGAGCGCCAAGTTCCGCGCGCACCATGGCTGAGACCGGCTGCTGCTGTAGATGGTCAGGTGACAAAAGCTCGCAAAGCAAAGCGTGCAGCTAGTCCTGCAGAGGTGCGAGCAGAGCTGGGAAGCGCGTGCCAGATCAGGCCTTCCAAAAGATGTCTGAAAGGTGCACGGTATTTGCTGAATGTCGATAAGAGAACGAACAAATAACCGTGGCCGCGCAAGTGACCGACGGCAGCTTCAACGGTGATCCGGCTGTCGCAGCAATCAATTTTGCACGATGCTGCAGTGGGGCGCCAGGCGATCGCCGCCAGTCCTGCGCATGCGCGCATGGGCATTGGTGACATACCAACAGTTGTAGGTAGAAGCCACGGCTCCCGGTCCGACCGGCCTCACCACGGTCAAACCCAAGCGTGCGCCAAAAGTCACGCACCAGCATGGTACGTTTGACCACCAACGTGGAGGTTGATTGCAATTGCGACTGCGTCGACCCTCGTTAGGTGTGAATTGGTTACAAGTAACAATCGAAATCAAGATGGCATCAGGGCTTGGTGCGAGTCGCCTGGAGGACATCGCGCATCTCCTGTCATGCGGGGGGCGCGGTGCAGAGCAAAGGTGGGGTGGGGGGCGGGAAAGACGTGAGGGAAGGAGCTGACAGCCTGCGGTGTGAATGTAAAGTCGAATACACAGGTGATTGAGGCAAAATACTTGCAAGTGATTCTCCAGTTGGCCCGGCAGGACGCCGGCGCGCCGCCTGGCCCGGCCGCTCACAACAGAACGTTGACGCCGCCCCCGCCCGCGGCGCCCGCACCTTGAGCGCCCCCATGACTTTGGCGTTGAGCAGGTACTTGACCACCTTCCACGGGCTCTTGGTGATCTCGACCAGCGCCTGCTGCACTTCCGGGTCCTGCACCTGCCGCAGCAGCTCCGGCCGCGCCAGCGCGCGCGCCACAAGCTCCTCGGGCCGCACGCCCAGCGCCCGCTCCGCGGCCTGCATCGCGTCCCCGCCGCCGCCGGCCTCGCCCGGCGCGCTCGACGGCGGCGTGCCGATCGCGCCGCCGCCGCCCGCCGGCTGCTGCTGCTGCTGCTGCTGCTGCTCCGCATTTTGCTGCTGCTCCAGGATTTCCGCGGCCTCGTTCCAGGCCTCCACGATGGCTTTGTCGCCAGAGTACTTGCCCAGGGCCTCGGGCCCGTTGCTGACCACGTCCATCTGCGGGCACGCGGCGCGGCGCGGCGAAGGGGATACTGCTGGGGCCACTGCCTCAAAGCACTCCCGACCATCCCTTGTCAACCAAACGGCCGTGCCAGATGACGGCCGGTGCGCAAGGGAAGGTGCGCGCAGGTGCGGAGGGCTAGCGCCCGGCAGCAAGGCTGAGCAGGGTAGCGCAGTCAAGATCACAATCAAGCCCACTGCCCAGTCCGCACCAGCGCGGAGAGCACCCGGGGGTCTTTAAGTTTTGCCGCCAGGCTGGGGGACGACATAAAGCGGCCAAACAGGACGCCTGGCGGGGTTGGGATGGGAGGGGGGAAGGCACAGTCAGGGTCAGTGCAACAGCTTGCAAGGTGTCCACCCCAAAAGCAGCTGCCTAGGAGTCATGGTGCGCCGCACGGCACACCGCCCGCCATGCGCATTGTCGTGTGTGAGAAAGCGCCAGCTGCTGAGGTGGCGGGGGCTGCATCAGCCGTGCTTCGGGGATGCCAGCGTCACGGCGGCGAGCCGTGCCCTCAGCGCCGGCCTCACCTGGGTCCATCCCCGCCTTGCGTGATGCGTCGATGCCGGCCGCCACTCGGTCCGCCTGCAGGCCGCCCATCACCTGGTGCAGGCCCTGACGTGGGAACAAACGAAAACCAGCAAGCCGAATCAGGATGCAGGCGGCACGCCACCCGCGGGTCAGCAAGTGTTCAGAATGCAGGTGCAAAGGCGACACGCATTTCCTGCCGCCCAGCTGCTGGAACATGCCCTAGGTTGTTTCGTGCCCCGCAGGGCCCTCGCGCGCGGCGCCAGCCGCACTCCTGCTCTTGAGCAGCGCTCGCTCGCCGCCCGCCGCTCACCGTCTGCTGCGCCAGCGCGGAGATGCGCTGGCGCACCTCCGGGTTGGCCATCATTGCCCTGAGGACCTCGGGCCGCCGCATGTGGGGCGGCATGCGCGACAGCAGCAGCTGCTGCGTGCTGGGGTCTGACATCATCGTATCCATCACCTGCAGGGCCCCAATGGGGGGCGAGGAATGTGTGACGCGAACGCGTGGCCTGATGCAGGGCAATCAGGGCCAAGCCGAGCACGATGCAGGGTGACTCCAATGATGAGGTCTGGGCTTGCCCACCATGTACTGCCCTGGCTCTGCGCCCCCCCACCTTCATCATTTGTGCGACTGCCTGGTCGGCGTCCGTGGCGGTGCCGCTGCTACCGTCCGTCGCGCCGCCGCTGCTGCTGTACTCGCGCCACGCCCATTGTGTGTTCCATAAGGAGTGGGCGCCTGCACGCACTGCTACCGCCCATGGGAGCATGGCGCCAGCAGCAGCATCAGCAGCTGCAGCAGCTGCGCCGCTTGCAGTTGAGCCCTGGAGGCTGGCGGTGCAACGTGGCTGATGGGCACTCGCGGCTGCAAGAGCAAATTTCAGGCCTCTGCGATTCATCTTTTCTGGGATCCCGAACTTTCAGTTCTCTCAGTACTTCAGATCTCAGCACAACAAGCGTCCAAAACCTTCGCAAATGGTCGCGAATAGGGGTTAAGAATACCACATGTTTGACCCAATGTCTGTGGGTTGCTGGGGCGCCGTGCTCGGGATGCCTGTTTGGTCAGCAGCTCAGCTGCCGCCTCGCTGCCAGAGAGACACTGGTGAGTGGTGGCCCGGGCAACCTGCATCTTTCACTGCTGCTGTCTCTTTGACCACAAACTATTTCACATCTTTACACTATACACATGCACTGGCAAACGGCGATTCAGACAGCTCAGCCAGCAACGAAAAAGTCTCAAAAGTTGCAGTTATCAACTGAGGCCACGCGTGAGCACACCAAAGGCAACAAAGCTGCCTGGACATCGCCCACCCCGCCATCCTCGCCAGCGCTTGGACCGCAGCGGCAGCACTGCTGCGCCTCGCCCTCCTCGCCTGCAGCCGGGCCGTCTCCGCCGTCCGCACGTGTGACCGCGACGGCCACAGTCACGTTCAGGCCCCGGCCGCCGAGCAACACGAGGGCACCGCCGCGGCCGCCGTCGCCCCGCCGGGCGGCGACCGTGCCCCGTATGAGCGCGACACCGTCGTCTGCCAGCAAGCTCACCGCCCCGCCCCCGCGCGGCGCGGCGTCGCCGTCCGCAATCAGGTCCAGCAACATGAACGCGGAGCCCGCCCCAGACAGCGCGAGCGCCCCGCCGTCACCGGCGGCCGCCTCATTGCCTTTGAATCGGCAGG